AAACTAGTTTTTAATTTTCCCTCAATTTGCTTCTCTATCCATTAAAATATAGTTGGAAGGAAGCCAGGAACTTTGATGGATAAGTCTCCAGTCAAGCCCATGTAGTGTGCTATGCAGATTCAAGTATTGTTTATGCTATCTGGTTGAAGTTATTATAGTTCATTCCTCTATCGTCTTTTATCTATTCCACACTTTCTGAAGTAGTTCAAAAATAATAAAAAGTAGTTGCTGATGTAAGATTCCTGTACAGGTTCATTATTTGTATCTGAATCTTATCTAATAAGATGAGAGCATTTGTGAGTTCGGGTTTACAAATGGCAGCATTAAGACCCTGCATTTGTTCTTCACAAAGGTTGTTGGCGTCAAAATCAGCAGTCTCTTTGTTGGATTCTAAAATAACCAGCAGAAGAAAATTCAAAAGTTTGTGTAGTATGCCAATTGTTCAGTCTCCTCTCCAAAGATCTACTTCTCAGAAGTTTAATAGTTCAGTCTCCTCTCCAAAGATCTACTTCTCAGAAGTTTAATAAGGTTGCTACAAGCGCCATGTCAAGTGAAAGTGACAAAGGGGATGCATCTACTTCTCAGAAGTTTAATAAGGTTGCTACAAGCGCCATGTCAAGTGAAAGTGACAAAGGGGATGCAGCAGGTTTGGCTATTGATTTAAGAGGTATAATATCTGCTGTAGGTTTATTTGCATTCCATTTTGCATCAATTCCTGTTGTGTTGTTTGGTAAATAACCTATATCTGCTGTTCTCTTTAACAATTTTGATTTTTTTAATAATAAATTAATACAATCTTGACTTTGATTCAGTTCATCATTTGCCCTTGCTTTGTTGCCTCCATTTATTTTATTTCAGGCGCAAGCGACGGATGTCCAGTCTATCACAAACTCTGCTATAATTTTTTGAGACCATGAATATGATAGTGTTCTGAGACCACAACGATATACATACTATGCCCGTGCCATAAATTTTTCCTCTTGACTTATGTTATGTTCATTGCTATTATTATGTTATGCATACCTGCATGAATTTTTTTTCTCAGCTCAATCATATATTGACAATGATATTTGCATTTTAACTCCTCCCTTAGGTAAAAGAGCATTTATTGCGGGAGCAATCATATATTGACAATGATATTTGCATTTTAACTCCTCCCTTAGGTAAAAGAGCATTTATTGCGGGAGTTGCTGATGACAATGGATGATATTTGCATTTTAACTCCTCCCTTAGGTAAAAGAGCATTTATTGCGGGAGTTGCTGATGACAATGGGTATGGTTGGGCAATTGCAAAGGCTCTTGCTGCTGCAGGTGCTGAAATTCTTGTTGGTACATGGGTTCCTGTATGTGAATCTGCACTTATAATCCTGTTGTCTATTGGTCATATAGCATAATTGAGGTTTTACCAGCCTATAACAATAGATATTTTATTCCTCAGGCATTGAACATTTTTGAGACCAGCTTACGACGTGGGAAATTCGATAAATCACGCGTGTGTGTACACAATAGTTTACATAAATTATACTTTATTTGTATTCCCTGTAATCAAATTTTAGAATTTATTAACTGAACAAAAGATGTGCATTGGTGCATGCAGGTTACCAAATGGATCTCTGATGGAAATTACTAAAGTATATCCTCTAGATGCTGTTTATGATACTCTTGAGGATGTTCCAGAAGATGTAAATTGGCTACCTGAACTTTCTTGTACTAGTTTGAGTTCTTTATAGGCACTGCTGATTTTACAATAATGGGTCATTATTTCAGGTTAAATCAAATAAACGTTATGCTGGAGCTTCCAATTGGACTGTAAAGGTATATTCCATTTGCATCAAGTGGGGTAGACTTTTGATTATTGGTTCTGATTTCAACTGCTTATAGAAATCTATAGTTAGAGAATTTGCCACTTTGATGAGTCAACAATATCATATTGGTTTCCCCTTATCAGGAAGTAGCTGAGACTGTGGAAAACGACTTTGGAAGCATCGACATCCTTGTGCATTCTCTTGCCAATGGACCTGAGGTACACTTTTTGTTTGGACTTACCTCTGTCAACTATACACTTGATTTTTGTTGGTCAGTTTGATGAAATAGTTTCTATAAACAGGTGACTAAACCTCTTTTGGAAACGTCCCGAAAAGGTTACCTTGCTGCGATTTCTGCATCAAGCTATTCTTTTGTCTCTTTACTTCAAAATTTTCTTCCAATAATGAATCCAGGTATATGCCCACTGCTGTGCGTAAAACCTTTATCTTGCCATTTTCTATTACAAACTAAGCAGTCAGATGAATATGTTATTGTTTATTCCACATGTTCAAATAACTATATGGTCACTCCTGGCAACCATTATTATATCACAAATCTTAATCTATACGTTTAACTCTTTTGCTCTCTTAAAAAGGCAGCAGGATCCATCAAAATCCTCTGCCTGTTTACTTGTCAACTTAATGCAGAATCTGAATTTTGAAGTTGCAATTGATGCAGGGGGTTCTTCAGTTTCCTTAACATACATTGCGTCTGAAAGGATCATTCCTGGGTAAGTTGCCTTGAGTTAAGTTGTCTCGAGTAAGCTGGCTTTTTCGTTAACTTAGATAAGCCTTCGCAAATGAGGCAAATGAGTTTGTTCAATTTACTCACTTATATATATTTCCATTAATTTGCACATTTGCGTTCCCTATTCCTTATCAGATATGGTGGAGGCATGAGTTCAGCAAAAGCAGCGCTGGAGAGTGATACTAGGGTATATTATGGTCTTTCTTTATTGGGTTTTTTCCCCCTAGAAACCACCTTAAAATAGGGTTATTATACGGAAACCACCTTTCATTTTCAATTTATACATAAACCACTTTTAAAGCTAGTTTTCTTTGCAATCAACCACCTCCAAGTTAAAAAAAAATTCACTAAAAACTAAAAAGCCAAAATTACCCCTTGAAAACTCACATTTAAGGTATGTGACTCATTTTTTTAATAGTGTTTAGGTCTTGTTAGGATACAACTCAAGTACCTTGAACTTGAATTTTTTAAGATTGTTTTTGGTTTTTTAGTGAAACTTGACCAGAAGTGGTTAACTGCAACAAGAACCTACTTTAAAGGTGGTTCATGTATAAATTGAAAATGAAAGGTGGTTTCCATATAATTATAATAATTTTAAGGTGATTCCTAGCGGAAAAAACTCCTTTATTTTGGAAAAGCTATGACACCATCAATGTAACCTTCATGATCATTGTCATCATTATCACTTAAAGAGACATCTACTGTTGGCATTGTTGTCTGATTAATGATCATGCAGGTGCTCGCTTTTGAAGCTGGAAGGAAGAATAAGATTAGAGTCAATACAATATCTGCAGGTATTTCATATGCTTTTGCTAGTATGAGTCTATGACAGCCTCTTTGATTTATATAAATTCTATGAACATCATTATAGTAGATTTTCTGTACAACTGTGGGTTAGTTCAGAATCTAACTTCACAAATCAACAGGTCCGTTGGGAAGTCGAGCTGCGAAAGCCATCGGCTTCATTGAGAAGATGATTGAATATTCTTACACAAATGCACCATTGCAGAAAGAACTACTTGCTGGCAAGTATTGAAATTCAAGTATTCTTTATTCCTATGCTTTGAGAAGTTCATTTCCCATTCTAATGGAGAAAATGTACAGATGAGGTGGGAAATGCCGCAGCTTTCTTGGTGTCACCATTGGCTTCAGCAGTGACAGGTTCAGTTATATATGTGGATAATGGGCTCAACACGATGGGTCTCGCACTTGATAGTGCAGCAATTTCCACATGAACGGCAGAGGGTTGTCGATGTGCTCTAGTTCTCTCTTTGATCAGAGTGATCCGAGTCTGTTCTTTTGTTTAGATAGCGACACTGACCCAGTCTCGCCTACTCGAGAGAGTTCTCATGCATTCAGAAATGGTATTTCCATGCACACTCCTGACGTAGGTGTATTCGAAAAATCTTCAGTAGTTGCTTGTCAGGAGAGACTTATTAGAGGCTCGGATGAGGATGGATGAATGCTCATGCGATAGTGGTATTTTTTTTTCCAACGAATTCAGTCAAATATTCTCCGTTCGCGCTTTAGAGAGACTGAGAATGGTGGAGTACTTCATTATTCCAGTTACATTTGACTTAGTGTACGATGAGGAGATGATATTTGAGTTGTGAGATGCTTGTTTCATGGTGGAAATCGACTGGTTTTTCTACTAAGAATTAGATTTTCTTAAGGAGCTCTGATTTCGCAGGAGAAAGCGGGTGGCAAATATTTAAAATATAGTACAGGTTTCCTGATGTAGCTGCTATATCTGATTAAAAAATATTGCAAAAGATAAATAATAATAATAATGATAATAATTCTCTTGTCAGGAATAAATTTTACGCGTAGAAAAGTAAATGTTTACCGATACTTGTACTGCCCATAATAAAAAAACTTGATGCGTAGAAATGTTATTATCCACGCTATCGAACGCGTGACAAATTGCTTGCAATCAAAAGCTAAAAGAGGGCTAAATATGAGTAGAACCCATTTAACTTCGGAGGATTATCAAATAACCACCTCTATAACTTTCAAAATATTGGAAACCTCCTTAAATTTAAGGGTTAACAGACAACCCCCTTTAACTTTAATTTTCTTTTTAGAAAAAAATCATTGAAAAGTGAAAATCACAATTTTCATCGGCAAAAATATCTAAATGCGTAATTTAAACCATTGCAGTTAATGTTATTTGAGAGGCCTTTCATAAAATCTTCAAGCTAAAACGTTTTTTTTTCCTGATAGCCTTCAAATAACCCTAAACTTAAGGGTGTTTTCTGATGTTTTGAATTTTTTTTTTTGGGTTTGTTGCAGTGTTTCTGACATTGCGCCTGAACTTCTTAAATAGAAAGCGTAATCACATAGGTTATCTGATGAGGTACGTCACTATAATATATAGGAGCATAATACAGTAACACTTAATTTCTAACTCTAGTTCATAATTACCACTAACATTCAACCTAATCTAAAATAACTTCAGAGCATTGTTTGTTCTTCTATCACAAAATTTTGGCAGCATATCCACCCAGTTTCATTTCGCAAAATTAGGCTTTCTGCTCTAGTATGATGTATTTCCAAAAGATTCTACCATATATATATAGACAAAATGAGACATTGACTGCACAAACGGACATCTCTCTCTTCATCTAACTAAAGAGGCACTGCCTTTTCCTTGTCTGAGAAGAATCACTTCCATCGGCATCTTTTGGTTCGGGGGAGCCGTTGCCAACAGAGTTCTCCGGTGTAACTAAACCGTGATTTCTGGAGAACTTTTTTATCGGGGTTGGAACCTGAACATGAGAGTACCCCTGAGTTTGTTCTCCTGTTCGTGAGTTGCGTGTAACTGTATCTGAGTTGCAGCGGTGAGGCATCAGTTCATCCCCAACCTCAACACATTCAGCCATCAGCTGCAAGTCATTTGTATAAGTCATGCAAAACTGAAAAAGAATTTAATTGGCAGATGCAATTGTCTTCGGCAACTGCTGGCAATGAAGAGGATTTAGAAATCTAGGAGGTTGTTAAATTTTGCTATATATACCAAACGAATAGAATCTGAAAGTATGAGATGGATTGGTCAAATGTCAATCGAAAAAGGCTATTCAATTTAGAATTTATCAGGACCAAACAGTTTTTTTTAGTTACAATGTACATCAAAGTACCAAACTCAACTTGAACACAATCTCTGAAATTGAAATAACAAAGCGTGACAAAATTATAAAATAAGTTTCCATAACGTACCTTCCAGTCCTCGTAATCAAATCTGAAAACAAAATGACGGTAACAGACAAGCCCTGAGGTAACTGCACTAGCAGCAGGAGCATTTCTCGGCACTAGGAGCAAGTTTATAAGCAATATACAAGTATCAGAACACAACAGCAAAATAACAATAGTAAATATTTAATACGGAAAAACTCACAAACAAGGTGGTCGCCATTATCATTCATGGTTATCTCAACCCTGCCATCTTTCACCAGAAATGATAGAGCAAATATGTTCTCAATTGTCTGGGCAAAAGACGATCTATTTAAGACCAGAGATTCAAGTCTTACACTTCTCTTCTTTATCAAAATTTCAAACATGGTGACCATCTTCTTGTCAGTATCAGATTTTGCTTGTTCCTCATTGGCAGCAAGCTATCAACACGAGGATTTGAAAAGAAAGTTAAAACTAAAAATTAGATTTACAGGCTGCTGAAAATAACTCAAGTTATACCTAAATAAGACTTAAAATTTGCCAAAAAAAAAATTCTACAAATGTTAGATTAGGTCTAGCTATATCATAATCGCTTTCCACCAAAAAAACTGATAATGGAATAGCTAGAGGTAGTCTTTTCTCACTCTCACACACACACACACACTCACACACACACATATAGAAAAGATAAACAAGAAAAAGGATAGTTGTATAATTAATATAATATATTTACATGGCTAGAATCTTAACGTTTTATGCAGCGCCAAAAAACCTGGGTTCCAATAAACCCAGATGGATAACCCCTCACAGATTGTAACTTCAAAACATTTTCTGTAATAATTAATTTGCAGTAGTTATTACCATGAACACATAGAACAGATGTATAGGTTTAAGGGCCTATGCATACAATGGATAGTAGCATACATCATTACATGACTGAAAAGTCAAAACAGCTAAGTTATCACCCCTGATATATCAACTATCAGATAGTAAGTTTTTTAATATTTAGGAAATAGGAACCATCAACTACTACAATAAGACTGTTATATGTTGTTATTGTAAGTTATAAAAAGCAAACAGACCGATAGACTTTGAGCTTCTGAAACATAAAATCTTTCTTTAAAAGGCAGTTGAAATCACGACATTGTCTGACAAGATGGCCATAAGGTATAGCTTCAGCTGTAAGTGCGTTTGAAGTTTTTCCAGATCAATACAGAACACGCAGTTTTAGGATTGAGGCAGACAGTTTTACTTGATATAAACAAGATCAAACTTATTAAAAAAACATATAAATCAAAACTATTAAGTACCAACCAATTCAGGACGGCTGCTCTCAGTGGGCCTTAACCTTTTTCTACGAGATACAGAAGCTCGCTGCTTTATCTCAGTCTTCATAGGACCAACCCTAGCAAGATAAATAACAAGACGGAAGTTAATATAGACGGAAGTTAATATACAAAAAAAAGGCTATTCTATGCAAATACTCAGGGGAAAAAAGGTTACATCATAGTCTATACAATTATCAAGACAAGTTGGCCAACTATGTAGCTCAAACTTGAGTAACAACGGTATCACAGCCATTATTTGCAACTTCTCATGTAATGAAGATTTATTTAACTTACCATCTGTTGATGACTAGACTGCAATTGTTTCAATAATTATATTTTCAAAATGCACGCATACTGATACTAACGATTTATATTAGATGCCTAAATGTTGTATAGAGAAATCGCTGCAAACGAATATGCCAATGGTGGTTTATAATATATTCATATGAATTCAGGTTCATTGAGAAGAGTGTGATACAAGCAAAGTATGTATATATTCAAAACTCATTAATAGAAAAGGTTACAAAAAGAACTTACATGGTACAACACGAAGGGGCTTTCTTGAAAATATATGAGACCGAAAAGCCAATATCAGCCCAGGAGACAGAGTTAAGACCAGTGTGCATACTCTTTGTTCCGGTCTTCATCCCAAATTTCCTGATCAATGCAGTAACAAAATCCGAAGGGGTCACTCCATTTTTCTCAGAGCTGAAAGCAGCCACTAGAGTGTTGGCTATGTCTAATAAAGCCTCTGCATCTGCCACTTGCTCCCTAGGCTTCTCAACTGTGAGATTAAGTGCATGAGAGTAATGGAAGGAGGCAATCTTGGGAGCTAAATGAAATTCAAATACATGAAATGAAGTAGACGATTAATTACAAGTAACCGAATTCAGTTTTAACATTCAGGTAACATAACTATACACTTAATTTGCTTATCATTAAGTGCTTGAATATTTGCAATTATTCAATCAAATAAGAAACAAAGCGATTAGTTTGTGACCCAATTCAGGTATCAGCAACGCCAATCTCAAAAATAAAAACCGAAACTCAGAAGAAAAAAAAAGTAATTGTTTACATCTTACCAAACTGATGAAGGGTCTCCACTTCAGAAATTATTGAATCAAACTTGTCAGAGTCCACGCTCATAATATCATCCTTCTTATCTAAAGCCGCCGGAAAAAAAAGAAAATTAAAGAAAAGAAAAGAACTTGAGAAAATAACTCCAATGCAAAACAAAACAGAAAAAAAAATACGATCTTTTTACAAGGAATCCATACCAGAGATCAAGTTCTTTATGTTGAGGTACTCAGACCTTATACACCTCCTCTCTGCACTGCACTGCTCTCTCTCGTCCTCGACCACCTCCCTTTTCGCCATTTTCACCTCTTTAGCCATGGATTTTGAACTCAGAGGAGCCTGACTAGGATAACTCAAGGAAAAAAGATTGGGTTTTCAATTCTTTGGGATGTACGTTGAAAACCCTAGATTTGAAATTTGAAACCCTAGAAAGAAAAAGGGGGAAGGCGAAGGGCGCGGGAAAAAAAACAGAGCGTCTCGGAAACGCTTGATGGGAAATAGCGGAGAACGTGGCGATGGATAGTTTCTCTCAAAAAAGGGAGGGAAAAAATTGCTATGCAGAGTCCTCTATAGAAGTTCATATAGGTAGAAAGGGGAAAAAAATAACTTTGTTTTTTGGTACCCAAATTTACATCTCTTCTAACTTTGACATCCGAAAGTATTTTTATTTCACCATTTGGTGCCTTAATTTAACTTTGATGTCCTAAAATTTTTCCTCCAACATTTTGATAACCAAAATTTACATATATTTTTAAACTTGACACTTTTTATTATCCAGATCTTTTTAAACTTTGAGCAAAGAAAGGAGAGGAATTGAAGAGAGTTTTTATAAACTGGGCTTGGAAAGGATTTGGATCCTCTCGGCTATTAAAAAAATTAGTATAGAGGCCACTACATTAATCTATGATTTACAATCGTTTCCTAATTTAAACTCAAAGTCAAACCACAAAACGGTTTGGAAGAGTTAAAAGTGCTTTTCAATTCCGTAATGGGCAAATAGTTGGAGATAACGGATCTTTTATTGGACGCTTGAATGAATTCGGGTGGGCTTAGCATTTGCCAAAGCCTACTGCACTAGAAGAGAGTATGCTCCTCTACCTGAAACTTGTTCATGTACTCAATGCTGCAAGGACTGGACAATTAGAGCATGTTTGTTTCCTTAAAAAAAATCCTTTGTAGTAGTTCAAAAACTTACGTCCACCTTTTCCCCAGAGTAGGGATGGCAAAATGAACCCAAAACCAATTGCCCACCCATACCCACCCGCCAAATGAACTATCCAAACCCACCCATTTAGTTAAATGGGCCATAAATGAGTGGATATAGTTTCTATTAAAGATAAATGGGTCATTAATGGGTGGGTTATTACCCACCCATTTACCCGTTTAGATGGATATTGTTTTAAAAACACCCTCAACGCTTAAACAATTACAAAACTTATTTTCAAAAGTTAAAAATTATAGAAAACACTTAAAATGACTAACAACCCCATAAAATTTTAAGATTTGCAAAAAACACCCTCAAAGTTTAAAATATTATAAAAACGCCATCAAGAGTTAAAAATTATAAAAAAAACTATCAAAAATTTCTAACCTCACAGATGACACATGAAATTCAAAAATTACCAACAGCCCCCTAAAATTTTATAATTTGCAAAAACACCCTTAAAAGTTATAGAAAATGAGAAAAACACCCTCAAGACTTCAAAATTACTAAACAATCTTAGAGTTTTCTAAACTTGCAAATGACATATGAAATCTAAAAAATTTCAATAGTCACCTATAAATTTAAAATTTATAATTAACACCCTCAAAGTTTTAAATTTTTAGAAAAACACCCTGCATAGTTTAGAATTACAAAACCATCCTGAAATTTCAAAACTTACAAATGACACATGAAATCCAAAAATTACTAGCAACCCCCTGTAAATTTATAATTTACAAAAAGCACCCTCAAAGTTTAAAAATTGTAAAAAGCACCCTCAAGAGTTCAAAACTACAAAACAATCTTAGAATTTTCTAAACTTGCAAATGACACATGAAATCTAAAAAATTTCGGTAGTCCCCTATAAATATCAAATTTGCAAGTAACACCCTCAAACTTTTAAAAATTACAAAAAACACCCTCAATGATATATAAATATAAAAAGTAGGCGCTCATAATTCTTCGTCGGCAGGAGATATATGCGTTTGCGGCCAAGTGTAATTTGTCACATGACCAAAGTAAGGGCTTTTTTTAAATAACCGAGCAGGTAGTAAACTAGACTTGTTACGAGTCCATCTCTTCTTTTGCTCAGCCCTGTCATCATTTGCTTCTTTTCCTCACAATTCTGTCCTAATTTTCTGAAGTAATCGATTCAATTGAGAAAAAATATTTATAGAAAACCCCCTGAAAGTTTGTAAGAAAATCTCCTAAAAGTTTGCAGAAAAAAGTTTGCAGAAAACCCCCTGAAAGTTTGCAAAACCCCCCTGAAAGTTTACAGAAAACCCCCTAAAATTTTGCGGAAAACCCCCTGAAAGTTTACAAAAAACCCCTAAAAGTTTACAGAAAACCCCCTAAAAGTTTGCAGAAAACCCCCCTGAAAGTTTGCCAAAAACCCCTGAAAGTTTGCAAGTAGATCCCTGAAACTTACATATATATATAGAAGCATCATAATCATAACTAAATGGGTTATTGGGTTACCCATGAACCACCCATTTAGTAAATGGGTGGATGAGAACCAACCCATTTAGCAAGTGCTAAATGGGTCATAAATGGTTAAGTGGTCATAAATGTGCCCACCCATTTATGACCCAACCAAAACCCAACCAAAACCATCCATTTGCCATCCCTACCCCAGAGTAATCATCTTATCAGAACTCCGCATGGTTCTGTGAACCACATGGAACCACATGGGGGCAGTGAATACCTCATTGCCCCCGGCCCCTATTTGTTATGATATACACAGCTCAGAACCTTCCGCACTGTGATGATTACTCTTATTTCCATGTATTTCTAGGAAAATAGCTTTCTTCCGGACATGAAAATATGAGTAGGAGATGTTTTCTATTCGATTCCTTTATTTTTTTGGTTCAAAAGCCAAAAGTAAGAATTGAGATGAAAGCTTCTTCCTCATTATCCAACTATTATATTTATCTACTACTCATATCATCCATTATTTAAAGCAAATAGCTTTCTTCCGGACATGAAAATATGAGTAGGAGATGTTTTCTATTCGATTCCTTTATTTTTTTGGTTCAAAAGCCAAAAGTAAGAATTGAGATGAAAGCTTCTTCCTCATTATCCAACTATTATATTTATCTACTACTCATATCATCCATTATTTAAAGCTTTTTTAAAGTTTTGGTGTAAGCTTTAGAGAAATGTTAGTCAAATTAGTTTCATTGTAGACTATGTTAACACTCTTGAACTAAATTTGTTAATTATTATTCATGCTACAAAAGTCATTATATTTGTATTTAAGTCTTCTTCTGAAATCTGTAATAATATTAGTAGTGTTTCTAGCTTTTTAGGAACTATGAAATGCTACTTCTCACGTAAATGCTGCCACCGCAACTCAAAATTTGTGTTATAAATTAGTATAATTGTGAAGAATGTAATGTGAATTATATTTTTCCATTCTTTCTCTTCTTTACTATATAAGAATTGTATAACTATTCTCTATAAGAATTATCAAAGTATGTCTTTTATAGTAATCAGTCTTTTAATTTGATATTTGTTGATTGACCTTCACAAATTGCTCATAATTCTCTATCCCAAGATTTCCTCTTTGAAAAGAAGAAAACTGCAGGTACTTTCTCTGATTTTATTTTGTGTGGGTTTTTTGCAAATTCAGGCGGAGTTACTGCCAGTTATTTTGAGTGGGTTTACGTAAACTATTACTTGACTAGCATCATCTCTGTGTATTATAATGAAGGCTTAAAGCAACTTCCTCAAAGCAATCTGATGTTTCACTTTCACATTCACTAGAATTTTGTTTCCTAGAATTTTACTTTATGGAGTTTATATTTGCTGATCACTTATCCCTGTTCTACATTGAATATCAAATTGATGTCCTTCTCTCCTGCACTTCCATCACTAGCTTTTTTTTTTAAATTTTCCTCCTTTGCTAGACCTGAGATTTTGACAACACTGCAGTGTTTTAATATAAATTTCCATGAAAGTTGTAATCAAATGCTTGTGCTGATGAGAAACATAACTGAAAAACTATTGTGCTTTAAACTAATAATACAGATTTCAAACAATTCTATGGTGATTGGTGATGAATTTGAGCATAGTGATTGAAATATAAATCATGGTGATGAATTTGAGCTAAATTCTAATTTTTTGCGCCTTAGATTGTTATTTTTGGATTATTTAGTTACTTCTTTTAGCATACTGAAGATGCTAATTTCTATTTATAATGATTAAATTTGATTTAGCTAATCTTAATAGTGCCTAATTCTGATCATATACCTAAACCTTATGTTTAAACTTGATTTAGGTAATATTTTTTGCTGAACAAAATGTGATTTAGGTAATATGTTTAAACTTGCAGCAAGATGAGCAAGTAGATTCATCATCTTCTGATTCTTCTTATACTCATCCTGAACAAAATGTGAGCTTTTTATATATACTTTTTGAAAATTTTGTTTTTTATTTATTTTGAAAATATTCACAATCTCTCAAGGATATCCAAGTTGTGATCGTGTCATCTGAGAATGTGCCTTCAAGTATCAACAGGTGAACACAAATAAAAAAATTCCTTAAAAATTCATTAAAATTGCTGGATTATAATTCCTTAAATTTAGTGATCATAACCCTTTGTTGAACAGTATTGATTGATTATGAGGATTTTATGTCCTGATTGATGATATTTAGTGATGGAAATTGCAGGTGGATTCAGATCAAAGTCTTCTTTGATGATGTATTGATTTTGTCATATCTGTTCTGTTTACTTCAGATCAAAGTCCTCTTTTTCTTCCATAGGCTTCTGACTCCAAAGACCTCGAAGACAAAGACGACAATGTATCTCTTCTCAACTCATTTTCCAATTTATTTTGAATTTCTTGGAACATAATGTAATTTTTGAATTTTTTTGATTTTCAATTATTTTATGCTTAATTATTTAGAATTGAGTTATTTGTAATTTTTAGGTTGAACACTCTTAGGGGTAGATTGATTGAGTAATTATATTGTTAGATTAAGTGATATTTAGTGGAATGTGTAGTTCCTTCAATCATGTTAGCGCTTACAGTCAAAATAGTACACTCTCAAAAGAACCCAGAAAAGAGAGTTGTTGCATAGAGAGAAAGAAAAGAGTAAATGAAGCACAAGAGACTTATGCCACATTGGAATTCTGGAAATTCTATGGTTTATCTGATTACAAGAAATGTGAAGCCTTAATTACTTTCTCAGTTTACTTTCCTATTTATTTCTTAACAGACAAATTATGTACATATCATCTCTTCCCAAATGTTACAGT